CCGTACTTTTGAAAATATGCCACTGTTAATTCGCTACCATGCATTTCTTTGACAAAATTGTGCTGAGTAAATCGCGGATCTTCCAATTTTTCTTGGAGGGAAAACAGACGACGTCCTTCGATGTCTTCGTCTCCAAGAGCCCAGTCTTCCGAATATAACTTTTTCTGTTTGCGTTCCCTCTGTTATAAACAAAACAAATCACTACCTACTTTTAAATTTTATAGTTTTAATATAAAATATCACCAGTTTTTGAAGAGTTTCGAAAGCTATGACGTGGAAAGTTAGTTTTGCATTTAAAAAGTAGTAAATAATTAATTTTATGAAACACGTTTGCAAAATTTGATTTAGTAGGTAAAAACTATTTCACTCACTCTTCAAAATGCTTTAGCGTCTATTTTGTTGCAGTAGGTAGTAAAACTTAATAGTTTCAACAAATCAACTTTTTCATGTGTGTCTCATAAAATTATTTATTCTTATTTTTTTTTATATAAAACCAACTTTTCCACCCTTTAACTACCGGAACACCTCGATTTTCATTTATAAATAAAAATGGTAAACATTTGAGGTAAAAAATAATAATAACCTAATAAGTATTTTAGTTTGAAGAACTATCTACTTGATACCTACCCTTCAAAAAAAAAAAAATAATAAAATAATTTCAATTCTTTTTCAAATCTAACTTACAAATTGTGTTTAGATAAATTATTTAATTGGGTGTTTGTTGAGTGGAATAAACTAATTATTTTTATTAAGGTCAAAGATTAACGAGATCTTTAGTTTATAGAACTAACAAACGGTCCACTAATAAATTATAAAAATGTGACAGGTTTCTTTAAGGTTTAGTTTAGAGTACCTACGCCAAAAAAGACAAAAATAATGAAGAAAAACAATTCCTATTTGCTCTGCATTTATCAATGTACAAACAACTTAAAATAATAAAAAGATCATAGAAGTTTGATTTAATTCAAATGCGTGATATCTTCATACAACACACGTACGCACGTTCACGCAAGCCTTTACATCAATTATTATATGAACTAACAAAAGAATGGTAGACTTCAGTTCCTTAAAAAAAACAATGGAAAAACAAATATAATAACAAAACAACCAAACAGTACCATAATAATGTCTTTACTTTACCATTTTTTTTGTTCTATCACTTCTGTCTTTTTTGTAACTCGACATATGCACATGCATAAGGTCAAAAAACTAACGATAAATAGGCCAAAACCAAAAACAGGCGTCGTAGATATGTAGTTCCTATGGCGTTAACCCACATTTTATGTTATTGCGTACAACTTACAACACAAATCACAATAAATTAAAAAGATGACACTTTTGCGGATTGTCTTATAAAAAATTGACACAAATTCGTAATCGTAGGTGATCAGGATCACCTTCTTTTGCTACTACAAAACCAAATAAATCGATACCAACTCGGCCTTTCGATAATCTCGAGTAGGTTAAAAAATATTTTTTTGTTTATTCCGAACGTTTCAATCCACTATTAGTACTCAATGTGGCATTTACGAAGTACACCTACCATACGAGAGACGTATTTTTCTCGGTCTACCAAAGAAGAGAGCTTTTTACTCCTATGCGCCATTTTCACAACTGCTGCTTACAATAGTAAACGGCAAACCAGCAATTACCGTTCTCCTAGAAGACGGCAACGCATGCGCAAACAACAGAAACACACCTCAATGCAGCCCTAATGCGCAAGCGTGATCACCGGCCCCCAACACATGTTTAATTATTTTCAGGAAATTCTACACAAATGTTTACGAGTTCACGTTAGTTGCGTTCAGAGTGGCTGACGGGGAGTGTCGTTACGTTAAAAGCAGCGACTGTTTAATTAAAACACATTTAAAAAAAATGCATCTTTTGGTGTTTCCAAAGAAAAGAATAAATTGCCAGTATGTACTTTTAAAATTACGTTATTACCTATTTACCACTACATATTTCAATAGCTTTACTGAAAAATTGTTCCACTATTTTATAAAAAATCGCTTTTAATCTTTCTATTAATCTCGACATATCTATGGAATCAGTTTTTTAACAATCGAGATTGTTATTAGTATTAAAACAATAAAAAATTGAAATTTCTACCTTGCCATTGACCAATTTTACAATACCTATACTCCTATACCTACCTAAGTATTATGTTTTATATAAACTTTTAGTAAATTTTATAACAGTTTTTGGGTCACTGCATTGTTTTTATTATTCCGTGTTTACTAACAAATTTAATCTAAAATTTGTACAAAAGAGGTGCATAGGTTTTTACTTTAAACATTATATAGACGTTACCTATTTGAAACCATCAATTCCATAGCTTTTAGTTAGTTTTATAGCTTTGTTTGTAATCTATGTTAATACCTTGATATATTTTCAAAACGCACCCGAAAATAAGCTATAAGTATGTAAATAGGTGTTGCACCTCCATCTAATTAACACTAATTAATAACAATCAACGAATATTTGTTTGCCTTTTGTTATTAGAGTAATTATACTAATCTGCAATTTTTTATGTAATAATGACTAATTTACCTGTTAAGTACACTATAGAAAAGAGCTGATAAGGTTTTGTCGTATCTCGCGTCGAAAAGTAACTCATTTATTATGTTATGTTGTTTAATTATCAACAAACAGCATAACAGGTAAATTGTCCATAATAATAGCAGCAGCTGTGTCGATGCTGCATCTGTTTACGTGCTGGACGAATTTCACGTTATGGCGACTATTAAATCTTTTTCTACATGAAAACGTACAGTTTTACACCTACCAGTTGTCTTACGGACGATCGCCTGCCTGGAGACGAAAATTCTGTCATTTTTTCCCGTTTTTTTACCAATCCTCCCGATTTTCGTAATTTTTTCCGAGGACGAAATTGCATGAATGACAAGTTCACCAAGCGCCTGCGATAGCGCAACTGGCACGATTTCGAACTTGTGAAGTAAGAGTGGATTGCATCTATCTACGACATACGTCATGATGCGGCATTATGCCACATTAGGATGTGAGAAAGAAACAGGCTGCGACTGTAGTAGTAGAGCGTTCCAACCTTTTTCGACTCCGTCTTTGATGCGAAGGTCACTGATTGTTGCAAGCATTGTTAAAATAAACCAATTGCAACAATGCACAAGAAATGTCAAAAAGTTTTGGCAGCTGTCAGTTTCAATTTTTGTTTATTTTATGTATACAAGGTGTTGTAAGCAGATAACTTTTTTTGGAAAGAAATAGAAATGTACAATAGGTTTCGTTTGATTCGGCCGATAATGAGCAGTCGTGTATTTATCGTGTAAATATAAAGTGTTATAATATACGTATAAAATATAATTTGGATTATGACGACCGACGTGCGGTATCTACCTACCTCCAATAATTGCTTTGTCAAATGCACTAACTTCCAATTAGTTAACAGTAAGTATCTCTACTGCTACTATATAAGTGAAGTATATAATCAAATCCTAATAGGGTTACCCTATTTTGCCTTGATTATACACTTCATTAGAAGAAGAAAAAATGGGGAACAAATGAAAACCAGCAGTTCAATAAACAAAACTTTCCGGATTTCCACCAATTAAATATAGATACAATACAACCATAAGGACGGGGTTGCGTGCATTGTAAGAACTGGTTGAAAAAGTATCTGAAAACTATAGTTTATTGAATAAAATTGGTACAGACACTTGAGTCTCTCTACGCCTCTATAATTAGTAAAGTTCTATCTCATCGTTAACGTATCGTCTACTACATCATTGAAAAAAAAAAACGTTACGTACACAATTGTTGTTATATATTACACTCAATTTAATTTTATTTATAATGAATAAATTATTATGGTAACCATTCAGCATGTGGGTTGGGAGTCATAGGGTAANTTTAAATTTTTATTTAATAGGTCGTTAGTTAAGCTTCTAATTGCTCAATGTACCTTACATTTGCGACAAATTTCTTATAACTTACATCAGTCTAAATAGAATTTTACAGGAGCATTTCAGGAGCGATTCAATAAATGTGTTAGAAAACAAATACAATTCATAATTGTAGTAGTTTTAAATACATAAACGTGGTATTAATCACATTTATTGAACGATTACCCTGTGTTTCAATGTTCGGCACTGTATACACAGAAATTTGAATATTTTTCATTTACTTTACCATTATAAAGTAAATTATTATTTTAAAACTAAACAGCAGTGAAGGAAATTTACGCGTTTTTTTTTTATTACGATGTAAGAGATAACTTAATATATATTAAAATTGATTTTTCTGTACTCAATAACGTAATTATAGATATTAAAACGAATAGATAGAAAGTGCTATAATAGTAAGCAACCCCAGCAATGTGTTAAACTCTATCACAGTGTTTAGTACGTAGTGCCTCCATTTCATCCGCTTTAATTTCATTTAAGACAGGCACTACGTAAATTTCCTTCAAAACTCAAATCTTATCTGTTTTTTTTAAATTAAAAATCAATAAACGTTAAAACGATCATTCGACACTAAAAACTGAGACTCGTATATAGATACGATTCCAATATTCTACTTAGCTTGCACATTGCCAACTATGCAACTTCTACTCAATAAATCACAAACTTTGTAAGTAAGCTAAATATTTCAAAAAAAAAAAAATAATAAACAAATGGTCCATGAACTTACAGAGAACAGCTGCTAATCGTAAGTATAATAGGTAAGTTGATCCCCTTTCAACTAACCAACTATTGTAGGTACAATATCAGTCAGTTACGTCAACTCGCATTCACATACCGTCTGCACTACGCTTTGTTTTGTCTTTTCACAACTAACTTGATATCACGCACTTGCAAATTGCGATCGCTTTTGGCTGCGAATTTGATAAGTGCTTGGGTGCTGACCTGAACCGAATGTCGCAGGTCAAGTCGCGTAAGGTTCTCGCACTTGGACAAGTGTTCGAGGCTCAGCTCGGTCACAAGCTTCGTGTTGCTCAGGTCCAGAGTTATAAGGTTCATAACGGTATTGGCCGGTTTCGTACTCAGCTGCGCGATACCCGCGTCCGATATACGCGGACAACAACTGAGACTGAGATGCGCCAAGTTCGGTAAGTATTGCGTAACATAGCGCATCGCGACGTCGGTGATTTCCGTACCGGCAAGTTTTAACGTCTTTAGATTGCGGAATCGCGTTTTTTCGTCGCGCAAACCGTGACGGGAGTCGTTGTTCGGGCCGAGAATTTCGCGTAACGATACGTCATTAAAACCAGACACAAACGATAGATCGAGAGAGTTTAGGTGCGCGCAATGACAACTTTTTAACGAAACGACTGATTTAATGTTCACACTCACCAACGAAAGGTCACGCAAACACGAAAGCCGCTGGATCAACCAGCTCAACTGATATTTATTGATATGTGCCCAGTCGAGGATCAGTTGCTCCGGTTGGCGACGAACTATTCCTAAAAAAAAAGTAGAAACATTATTATTACTGCAACTAATTCTAAGGATTAAGATAATAAAACCATTTAAACGAAGCTTTTAACGCTGTACGAAAGGATAACGTTTTTTACCTTTGAGATGTTCAGATGATATACGCTTTTGTGAAAAGTTCATGATTCTCCAGAGACTGGGATCAATACTATATTGGGCCCAGGTCTTACAAACAAGCGAACACTGAAATAAATCGTGAGGACTTAAAAACCGAAACACGTTTAATATTATTCGTTTGTTTAGTGGTAAGTTGCCGGCTGGTAAAGAAGAGTTGGTTATGGGTGCCGGTCGGACCACACATAACGGTTTTTTAAGCGTTTTGTTCGTGTTATTTATCAGTTGCTGAGCCAGTTGCATTCTAAGTGCTTGTTTTCGTGGCGCCTCGTTTGGTGGCGACTTGGAAGACGGGACATCCCCTTCGCTGGTACGTCGCTTCTTTATGGGAACCAATTCTTTATTGTCGTGGACATCCTTGGACGTATCGTTTTCGCTACCACTATCGCTTAAATGTTCCGGTTGGACCTGAAAAAGATCTTTTTTATTAATTTTGCCTTTTTTTTTAAGAAAAACTTAGTTTACTTTTTGTTCAAATGCACTGGAGGCGTCCGAACTTATTGACATACGACGCAAATCGGTCGATTTTTGTCTAGCTCGGAAATGACGTGGTTTGTAATCGGCATTTTTGCCAGATTTACAACACATCGGGCATTCCCACGAGTTGGGCAAATCTTCGTTTATATAACCGGTAAATTGCGGACAGAGGCGCTGAACGCATGCAGGATGAGCTATCTCGTAACAAACCTAAAGGAATAACAACAAAAAGTAACACTGAAATTATTTAACATGACCTTCTTTAACATTAAAAATGAAGAAAACTACTTTCAATGATATAATTTTACTTTTAGTTTTTAGGAATTTACTTACCGAACATTCCATTAGACCGCTAGCACTCTCGTTCCTTTGAGGTGCGCCTTTCTGGAGGGGGACGACGGGTGCTTGACCCCAACCATCAAGACCGCAATGGGCACAGGCAGCAGTAACCGGTAACATGGGTTGCAGACACTGGCGCATATTGCACGTCTGTTTTGCACGACCCGGCCCCCCGAACTTCACCATGTCCAAACAGAACGCACACTCACCACAGTCATTACGCATGCACGCCTCGCATTTTTTACATCTAATGAAATAAAATAATAAAAAAACAGACAACTTGTATTTCTTCAATGCTACTTGCTTACCTAGTACGTCTTCTTCGTGGTCCATTTTTATCTCCAGGTAACGACGGATTCTTCGACAATTTCACTCTGTTCAGCCCCTTTAGTCCAGGCCCTCTACTGAACGGAATCTTCATTTTATTGTCAGAATCTTCGGGAACTACGTAATGGCAAAATTATGCAAAAATTACGGTTTTTTAACTTTTAAAATTAATTTAGCTAATATATGTACCTAATAAAATTGGTCGACCCGTGATAGCTAATTCTCTGCTATCCTGTCTATGGAGTCCTATCAACGTCCGTACGTCCTGGATTAAAGCGACCGGATTTTTTATGAGATCAGGAACATTTTTCTTGTTGGCCGGCAGCATGTGCAAATACAGCACAATTTCCTACAAGATAACAAGTTTCTTGTCTTAGTTTCCATGATACTTCAAATATAATAATGATCGTTACCTTAAGTCCATGAAGTTCGGCGTGGGTCAGGTGAATGTGGGGCCTTTCTGAGGGAATGGGAACGTCAGCACCGGTGTTTAGATGCGATCTACCCAATAGACAGTAGACATACCGCTCCAGGACGTACCACAACATTTCGGTGAAAAAAGGATACCGAAACTTTTGGGGCACCTGCGCAAAATAACAATGAAATACGGAAAAGCCAGTCAAGTGCCAAGTTAACTAGCTAGAGTGTTCTGTTTTTTATCAAACATTTCAAAAACGTACCACAATGAATCAGAAAGCGCTCTATTTTGGAGAATAATGACAGAAGAGACGCATAAACACACATGTATAAATTATATAAAAAAAAAAAACAGAGTACGTTACCTTCGTCGTATCTTCAACTTGGGCGATTTTTAGTTGTTTATCAATACCAAACGAATGCAAAAAGTTGCCCCCGAAAACCAAAGAATCGCAAGGAGTGTAGACGGCATGAATCCATCCTGTGGGAATGAAAAACGTGTTTCCTTCCATAAGTGTAATTCTGGCACACTTCTCGACCTGGTCGCCGAAAAAAATGTCTCCTTGTTTACCGGACAGCACCCACTTTTCGTACAAATTTAAATTGTGCTCGGTTGGTGGTATCAGCCAGAATACTTTGCTGCCTTCAAGAAAACCAACCAAAATACCAAAATTAATGACTCACACATGTATGGCGGACAGTTGTTACCTTTTAAAATGTGATACCAAACGGACGTTCCGCCAAAGTCGACGTGAAAATCGGTATAACAATTTTTAACGGACATTAGACAATACTTTTGAACTTTCGGATATTTCATCTCTTCAAGTACGTTAGTCGCTTCTATTTGGCTTTCTTTCAGGTGTCTAGGCCACACGCAGTCTACCCAATCGAGCTGTCTGAAGACAATCTGATTATTATTCACTTTCAGCTACATTAAATATGCATTAAAATTATTTTATTCTACATCCCTTTTTTTAATTATATACACCAATGTATAAATATACAGGACGTGTTTTAACGTTTATTTATCGACGAGGGGGGGAGCTCCGCCGCTCCTATTGGCCGATAGAACGTTAAAGTAGTCAGGAAGGGTTCCTTCATTTCATAATAACCGATTCATTTTTATACACAATTAGAAATAAGGAGATGCAAGGTATATATTTGAGTTTAAGAATATTTATCCATATCTAAGTACCCCATTTTGTCCCAGACCTTCCTATTTTCGTAAATGAACAAATGTACTAGGTATGCAATGGTAATATTCAACATTTTAATATTTCATATAAAATTAAGTAGTCGATACTAAGGGGAGCAGTAGTCCAGAAAAGTTTCAGAACATCTACTCTAGAAAGTACCGTTGGGAGATAAACATCGTTTTCATGTAGTTTTAATAGAATAAAATTAGTACATAATTTTAATCGAGGATATGCAACCCTACATACACCTTGTCTACCCATGTTGCCTAGATTGGCCGAGAAATTAGCCGAAAATAAATAGAATAATCGAATAAATACTACTACTGGCAGTTTCGTGAATGCTTACATTTAAGGTATCACTTACCTCACAACGGTAGGCGATTGTACGTAATTTTCAAGTTTCGTATGAGAAAATTCGAGTGAAATCACATTAAGTAACTTATCCTTTTCCGAACTTTCGTAATACTTTTGCCACTCTTTCATGGTCATTTCCGAATTCTTTTGGGTCATCACGTCCATGACGTCGAGCACGCGACGCGAACCGACGCACATTCTGACGTCGTTCACTGTAAAATTCGTCGTCGGAACGCGAAGTCCTGGAACAATCAACATATTCCCTAACTGTTCAATAGTTTTACATTATCTTTACGATATGGCTCGTGTGAATACCGTATCTTATCAAAAGTTTACAGGAAAGCATAATGAAAATTCTCAGTGTTTTCTAGAAATGAATTTTGATTACCACATGCGGTCGATTCCGACACGTTTTAAAAAGTTGAATACTTAAAAATGCATTTGATAGCTCTCGAAATGCGAATCAGTTCGTTTGTAATAATTTAAAAATAAAAATACAATCATACTGTCATAGAATATTAAATTCAATTAGATTATATTGGCGAAACTATAATTTTATACATGGAAAGATAGATTTGGCTTAAGAAATATAAATAAATAAGATGATATTACCTAGTCCTGTTTTGTCTTTGAAGAGAAGGGGTGTATTAAAACCGTACTTTTGAAAATATGCCACTGTTAATTCGCTACCATGCATTTCTTTGACAAAATTGTGCTGAGTAAATCGCGGATCTTCCAATTTTTCTTGGAGGGAAAACAGACGACGTCCTTCGATGTCTTCGTCTCCAAGAGCCCAGTCTTCCGAATATAACTTTTTCTGTTTGCGTTCCCTCTGTTATAAACAAAACAAATCACTACCTACTTTTAAATTTTATAGTTTTAATATAAAATATCACCAGTTTTTGAAGAGTTTCGAAAGCTATGACGTGGAAAGTTAGTTTTGCATTTAAAAAGTAGT